AAAATTTCTATGATTATTATATTTTTTAAATATTATGTTGGTTTTTAATAGAGTCGAGTGAGAGAAGCTTTGTAGATTGTATCAAACATACACATAGAGCAAAATATTATAAAATATTATAAAACATCGTGCACGTCATAAAATTAATGTGAGAAATAGTATGTAAGAGAGAGAAAGAAAGATATAAGTATCACAAAGAATAAATTTTACCGATCACGAAATATATATAGATAGATAGATAGATAGATAGATACATACATACATAGTACATACATACATACATACATACATACATACATACATACATACATACATACATACATGCATAAATACAAACATATACGATTTCAGCCTACGATTCTTATGAGAACTTATCGTGCGTGTCCGTATTTTCTACCTTTTTTCTATATTGTGTGTTCACGATATATAAAATTAACGGAAGCAGAAGGAAAATATCGATTTCTCGCAAAGAACATTTTTACGCACTCGTTGAGCTAAAAACAAATTGTCGGCCTAACGCCCAGGGATCTCTCTCATTGAATCATCTATACAGTATCGTTTTGATGAGAAAAAAAATTATAAAGAAAGGCGAAAAAAAAAGAGAAAAAAAATACTGACAGATAAAAAATGAAGTGACGAACGATCGCGAAAAAATATATAAAATATTAAAAATTTCATCCTCTTTATCCTAATAATCAACCTTTCCGGTTCAATAAATGAACCCTTTCCTTATTTTTCTTGCATAATTTTCACTTTTTCTTCACCGAAGTTATTGTAAATGGTGTGTTGGTAATTAAATAACAAAAAAATGAGAAAAAGAAAAAAGGAAAAAAGAAAGACTGGTAGCGTTTATAAAATTTCGTTAATAGCGATCATCGTTCCCTGGAGCTTCCTTGGTCTATCTACGGAATTAGAATCGTAAAATCGATGTCGACTTTGCTTCTAATAACGAACGATGTAATTAAACACAAATCGAATACATGCATACATACACATAATAATATCACAGTTAAGGATTCACGAATTTTCGGTCTATTGGAGTCGTTATGGTCTTGAAACATTATTGATACGTCTCTCGTTTGTTTTAATAAAAAACAAATTTCAAAAAGATATAAAAAATAAATAAATATACAAAAAATATGTATAAAAATCACGAGATAAGTGACTGAATTGTAAGTAAGTTAAAAATGAGATAAATGTATGAGATTCGTAAGATTATCTAACAAGAAGAGACGAATCAATGCCGTTTTAGGGTCGTTAAATGGACAATGATAAAAAAAAATGAAATAAAATAAAAAAATAAGCATTAATCACAATTTACCATTACATGTACACACTCGCATATTGAATAGAAATGAATAGTCTACTGTGCTGCATACATATTTAAATTTAAAGAATGCATAAAAAAGTAAGCATGGGTGTGCATCTTAGATGTATTAGAGGAGTTCCTCATCAGACGTTTAGTATTAATTATTAAACGACGGTAAAAGGAAAGGAAGGATTAACAACAACAATCTACAACAACAATAATAACTAAGCTACAAAGCAAATATACAAAAATATGCATAAAATGTTGTATCCCATATGGACGAGAAAAGAGGAAGGGGTTCAATGTTTGTTTTTTCGTTTCTTTTTTTTAATTTATTTTCTCTTCATGGTCTTGTTTTTTTTTCTTTTTTTTATAATTATATATCTTTACGTTCTATTTACTTATTTTCCTAATTAATATTTTTACGAAGCACAAAAGTTCGTTCATTTTAAATAGATTTATTTTATTAAATGTAATTGACTGCGATACTGATCAATCTTCCATAGTTTGTAGATTCTTTTTGTTATAATCGCGTATTACCGTACCGTTATATAT